CGTAAAGAATTTCGAAAGCAAAACATAAAGGTTATTTTCACATCAACTCCCAATTTAAAAAATATTTTTTGCAACAATAAAACTAAACTACCACTAAACACAGACCCTGGCGTATACCAGCTAAAATGTTCATGCGGTTCGATATACATTGGCGAAACTAAAAAGAAGGTGATATCGAGATGTATTGAACACCAAAAAAACAGCTTAAAAGGAAAATGGTCCAGTTCGGGTGCAACTGAGCATTCTAAAACATGCCATGGTAAGTTTGGTTGGTTGCACCCCAAAACATTATCTGTAGCCTCAGAATATCGAACTCGGAAAATCAGAGTCACTCGAAATAAGCAAGGCTAGGGTTCAACAGGAGTTGAGAAATGGTGACGTGGTTCTCAATCGGGATGACGGTGATAACGTAACAACCAAAACCTGGGGCCATTTTTTAATAAAATCTGCTGAAGTCAGTTATTTAAAAAGTTTTTTTGTGTATTATATTATGGCTTTTTAATGTTATCTTTTTAACGGTTTGTTTTTACTATAACAATTTTTTTAACTATTTTGTTTATTATACCTGATGACGCTGATCACAATAGATCAGCGAAATATCGAAATAATTATATATTAAAGAAAAAAATATATATATATTTAAAAAAAGTTTATACGCAGCCGTATTTATTGAATTATAACCATATTTTAACGTATAATAAGAAAATGACATTCAAAGATTATATATATATATATATATATATATATATATATATATATATATATATATATATATATATATATATATATATATATATATATATATATATATATATTAATTTTTTTTTAGGTGCCCCAAGAAGGTCTCATCACAGAGCATCGCGGATGAGTATTTAATTGGAAGTTCACGCCTCCTTCTTAACCGATGTCGCGAAACTTGCCTAGAGGTGGGGTTTAAACAACGGATGCTTTATTTCTGAGGCAACCGCACTGCTACTGCGCCACGGCAGCTCTCTCTCTTATTTATTATATATTAAAAAAAAACAATCTGTTATAAAATATAAATTACAAAAATATAATAAAAATTTAAATGACCAATATTAAGAAATAAATGAACTCTGGGACTCGTCAAAAACTTACACGAAAATAAGAAATAAAAGAATTTTTTTTTTTTTGTAAATTTATTTGCCTTCAATAAAAAAAAAAATTACAATTACAGAATAGCTTTATTACAAATATAATTAGCAGGACTTTTAGAAGATCATACTATCTTATCATAAAGCCCTTTACAATATCAAATATAATAATACTAACAATAAAATCAAATTAACCAATAAAAATAAATTAACATAAACTATATATAACTGTGCATTTAAAATATAAATATACTGGATAAAAAATATGAAACAAAAGAAATAAAAACAAGAAAAATATTTTCTGCTGAAAAGATAACTTCTTTTAATTTTCGTTAAGCTTTCAAGCTTAAGCTTGAAAGCTATTTTACTAAATAAAGAAGGAAAAAAACAGCAACTTCGAATTAAAAACATAATCAATAATTTAAAAAATTCGATTAAATAACAATTATTATAATAATAATAATCAAGTTAAAAAAAAAATTAAAGGCAAATTTATATATATCATCTAATAAAAAAAATAACTTTTAAGTTTTTGTAGAAGGATTCTTGAGAAAAGTTAAAATTTTTCAAAAGTATTCCAAAGAGAAGCTCCCCGTAATGAAATCCAATATTCCAAAGAGAAGCTCCCCGTAATGAAACCCAATATTTTTCAAAATTGGTTTGATAAGCTAATTGACAAATGTCGTCATCATTTCGTAAATTGTATTTAGTTTTTAAGTTTTTGGTATACAAATTATGAATAGATACAGGGGATTGTTTTTACATTTAAACATAAAGCAAATAACATTAAAAATATTAAGCTCATATATATTAAAAACCTTTATTTCAATTAATAGAGTCTTGGCATGATTCAATCGATCCTTGAAATTAATTAGGTGTGCAACATGTTTCTGTTAACGATACAGAGGGTTGAGTTTATTTTTATTATTACTACCCAATGTTCGCATAGTTTGTGTGACAATCAATGTTTGTGTGACAATGAATGAGTGAATCTAATTTAAGTAAACAGTTTAAGTGTGCTTATTTTAAAAACTTCTTTAATATAAAATTCCCATCAGGGCCGTCCTGAAGGGAGGAGGAGGGGGTGTGCTTATGCTTATACCCCCTAAAGCTGTCATATAAGCATTTGAGATGGCACATTGAGCAAGTTTTGCTCAATGTGCCAACTGAATGCTTTTTGAGTTGGCATTTTGCCAAGTATATTTATTAATATAGTTGACATTTTGCCAACTATATTTATATTAATTTAAATATAAATATAGTTTGCTATATTTATAGTTGGCAAATTGCAAGTATTGAGGACCTTTTTTTTTTTTTTTAGATTCCTTAGTTGGCAAAAAAATACTTAGACCCCCCATGGAAGACCTCTTTGGGTCGGCCCTGATTCCCATACTTTTTGATACTTAACTACGCAAATTTTTTATGTGATAACTTAAAGTCAGATTTTCATCAACATGAAAGTTTGTAACTGTTACTTTTTTAAAAATAAATACAGATAATCAGTATCATCAACATTAATAGTTTTCCGATCATATTTTATTTATAATAATATAAATAATATTTTCTTATTATTTTAAGTTCATCCAAAGATATTTTAGCGCTGGAGTCATCAGAACAATTATCTAAAATACTCAAAATATAAGTTTTCGTTGTGGCTAGCCAAACGGTACCGTTACTTTAATTTTTTTATCTTAAAGTCACGGTATTAAAGTTTGATGGGTTTATTTTAAGTCACAACTACAAATATTATTAGTTAATTTTAAAAATTTTATTTGTACAAATTTTTAAAGAATTGCAACTCTTCATTGTACGTTTAGCATTGTGGTATCTCATTGGTTTATC